TTTTCTTGAGACAGCATGTTGTTACATAGCACTAGCTGGCCTGTAATTCACTGTGTAGCCCAGATTGGCCTCCAACTTGTAGTCATCTTCCTGCTTCTCAGCTCTGGAGTGCTAGGATTGCTGCACATGATGCAAAGAACCACATTTCCTCTGGTCTCATATAGCCCAGGCTTGGCTTGAACTTCTAATCCTCTTGCTTCCATACCCACATGTTGGGATTATTGGTGTATACTGCCATGCTTGGTAAGAACCAGCACTATTTTTTTTTTTTTTTGGTTTTTTTGAGACAGGGTTTCTCTGTGTAGTTTTGGTGCCTGTCTTGGGATCTCGCGCTTTAAATCAGTCTGGCCTTGAACTCACAGAGATCCGCCTGGCTCTGCCTCTCGAGTGCTGGGATTAAAGGCGTCTGTCGCTGCCGCCTGGCAAGAACCAGCACTTTTGAAACCTCTTCTGACCTTTAAAGGCATTTTATTTTCACAAAAAGTAAGGTATTATATAATAGAAAAATATTTAATGATAAATCACATCTTTACTGCTTAACCAAGTCAGATATATTCCTAGTCTAGGGTGTTGTTAGTTACCATGATACTGTAAAACCTGTTGGCATTGGTTAATGGAATTTGTTATAAACAGCTGTTTATGTAATAGCTGTTTTCATTTGTTTTCATAGGTAGAAGTGAAGTCTGGAGAAGAAGATGAAGAAATTCTGTTCAAAGAAAGAGCCAAACTTTATAGATGGGATAGAGATGTCAGTCAGTGGAAGGAGAGAGGTATTGGAGATATAAAGATTCTTTGGCATACAATGAAGAATTATTATCGGATCCTAATGAGAAGAGACCAAGTTTTTAAAGTGTGTGCAAACCATGTTATTACCAAAGCCATGGAGTTAAAACCTTTAAATGTTTCAAATAATGCTTTAGTGTGGACTGCTTCTGATTATGCTGGTGAGTTACTACCTTCAAATGCCTTTTAATTTCATTGACTGTGGTGATATTGTGTTCCCCAATATATTGTGCATCCTAATAAACTTATCTGGGGAGCATTCATCCCAATACCTGGCTCCGGGTTTGTTTTCATTAACAAGACCTTTTAAGATCGTGCTACAATTGACTTTTCTGAAATCTATAAAATATACATGCTTTGTGAGTTACTTTATATTAAGGTCTCTCTCCTTCTCTCCCCCCCCCCCCCCCCATAGATGGAGAAGCAAAGGTAGAACAGCTGGCAGTGAGATTTAAAACAAAGGAAATGACTGAGTGTTTTAAGAAAAAATTTGAAGAATGTCAACAAAATATATTGAAACTCCAAAATGGACAAGTATCCCTTGCAGCAGAATTATCAAAGGAGACCAATCCTGTGGTGTTCTTTGATGTTTGTGCGGATGGTGAACCTCTAGGACGGATAGTCATGGAATTATTTTCAGATATCGTTCCTCAAACTGCAGAGAACTTCAGAGCATTATGCACTGGAGAGAAGGGCTTTGGTTTCAAGAACTCTATTTTCCACCGAGTGGTTCCAGATTTTGTTTGCCAAGTAAGTATCACTATACATCCATCATAGTTAAATCTGCTCAGACTAGACCACACCAACTCAGGAAGGCTTTCTTCTTGCCCTCATTCTCATCTTGGGAATTTTCAGCTTTCCCACACCGTAGTTGGCATTGAACTTGACACTCGATTCCTTTTCAAACATGTAGACTGACAGGCTCCAGATTTCTAATGTTTGGTACATGCTAGAAACAGAATGAGGGAAAAACCTTTTCCCCTCAAAACATGTATTTCTTAGTTTTCAAAATGTATTTTTAAAGAAATAGGGCATTTGGAATTTACTCTGTCATGATTTCTGTGTATTTTAATGTTTTAGTCAGTATTAATGGAAATATTTTTTTTTTTGTTTACAGGGGGGAGATATCACCAAACATGATGGAACAGGAGGACAGTCCATTTATGGAGATAAATTTGAAGATGAAAACTTTAATGTGAAACACACTGGTCCTGGCTTACTATCCATGGCCAATAGGGGCCGGGATACCAACAATTCTCAATTTTTTATAACACTGAAGAAAGCAGAACATTTGGACTTTAAGCATGTAGTGTTTGGATTTGTTAAGGATGGCATGGATACTGTGAGAAAGATTGAATCGTTTGGTTCTCCTAAAGGGTCTGTTAGTCGAAGAATTAGTATCACAGAATGTGGACAGCTATAAAATAATTTTCATAGTGAATTTAATCTATATAAACAGTTGAATTGATGCTTGTTACAGGCAATATGGTAATTATGTTCACCTTTTGAAAACAGACGTTTCCAATGTATAAATGTAAAATTGTAGCTTATAGCTGTTGTCACTTTTTAATGTGTGATAATTGATCTTGCATGGTATGAAATAAAAGTTTAAACACTGGTGTATTTCAGGTGTACTTGTGTTTATGTACTCCTGACATATCTGTATTAGAATGGCTAATACTAATTTTGTTAAAAGCAATAGAGCTTCCCAGACTATTGAAGGAATATGATATATGCAATCTTATTTTAATTCCTGTTAAGATATTTGGATTTCCTGCATGGTACTTACCATTGAATAAGGGGACCACAACTCAGATAATTTTATTTTAGAATTGAAATATATATGGTAATCTTAACTATCCGTGTGCTCATTTATGTATAGACTCATTTCTGAATGGATAGAGCCACAGAAGATAGGAGTTAACCAAAGTGCTCTTCTGTCATTTTTATGCTCCTGTATAGTTAACAGTTAGCTTTGAAGTAGAATACTGTCTTTTCTTAAGATATGTAGTTCCCTTTGGAAGACATTAATTTTTACATTTTAAATAAGTTGATCATTTCCTTAGTTAGCTCTCCTCCTCCCCATCCTCCCATCTTCCCTTCCTTTTTTCTTCCTTCTTTCCATTCGCTTTTCTGTTACCTGTCTCTACTACCTCAGAAACTTCAGCTTGGTCCTGATGATAGAATTGAATTTTTCTCTAGTTCTTGTGATAAAGTATGAATATTTTTAAAAGATCTATACCATGTTCTTTGGTTAAAGATTTGCTTTATATTAGATTGTTGCAGTACCTTTTTCTGGTGAATTTTGTAGCAGAAATAAAGTGATAATTGGTAACAGCCATGACATTTAAAACATTCATTCCTTGTGCATCTAAGTTGTCTGTTCGTTCTGTGACTAGATGGAAAATGAGATCTGTTAAAGGCCAACACTGATAAACCTGAAAATGTACTTGGATGTGGTTTGTGTCAAACAGGCAGACTGTTAAAGGAACAGCATGTTCTCATGGCCTACTTGGTACAGAACTAAGGAATCTAGTTAGATATAAAAGTCTCTGTTTTCCAAGTGAGTCTGGAGTCCTTTCTATTTTCTTGTGTTCAACTATTAGAAGAGAGCAAGGAAGGTTATGGTTTGTGTAATGAATTATGGAATATCATCACTAAAAAATGCTCATTCCACAGCCAGGTACATGAAATAAACCTACCTCAAGTTGGCCTTGTAAAGAAAACCATGCACATTTAGTGACTTCTTCGGAAACCTGTGTAATATAAACTCATGTAAAAGTATTGAAACTTTTCAGCTGAGAAGTTGACAACATCATTTTAATCTAAGTAAAATGGAAATGTCTTCTTAAAAAGTCATCTCCTATAGCCCAGGATTACCTTGAGCTTGCTTTGTAGCTGAGGCTGGATTTGCAACTCTTCTTGATCTCACTACCTCTACTGGGATTACAGGCATGTACTTAGAGTGCATGGTAGCAAATGCTTTTTAAGAGATACTTTACACTTACTTTGCTTTTTCAAACCATTAGGATTATTAAAGATCTTTCAAAAACTTGACAAAATGGTGTGTTAAACTAACTTTTCCAGGATTGGCATTAATAACAGAGATATTTCCAACCTGTTGAGTTACAAAAGGTTTGTGAGGCGCACCATTTTGGGTGCTGGGAATGGAACCCAAGTCCTCTGGAAGATCAGTCGGTGCTCTCAATGGCTGAGCTATCCAGTTCCAACAAAGAAGTTTAAAAGAAGCTTCAGTTATTTTATAAGATATTTGATACATTTCAGAACAGTTTGATTTGTTATGTTACAAACCCACATTGATAGGTTTATCTTTTCCAACTGGCTAGATTTGCTGTGCTCATTAAAATCTGCCTCCACACCCCCAGAATAAAACAATTTAGATGATATTTTATAGCAAAAAGTATTCTTTAAGTAACTTTTTTTAAACAGTAAGTTTGCTGTCTACTTGCTAAAGTATCAGCTTTGGAAAGTTAAAAGTAAGCTAGAGAATTTAGTGGTTGGTACCCACATGTGCACTTACTAGAATATCTCAGTGTAAAAGTACAAGCTTGTATCACAGTAAGGTGGAACACAGCGCTGTGGGGCTAGGGAAAGAGGTTTTTGTTTTAAACCAAACTACATGTTTACAGGGAGTTTTTTAGACTTCATGAGGTAGATCTCCTTATGTAGCTGAGGCAGCTGTCCAACTGATAATGACCATGTAGCCCAGGTAGTCCTCCTGCCTCCACCTTCCACGACTATCCCAAATTTATTTTAGTGCCCTATTGCACCACCTATGGAGATAGGCAAAGGAATTGAAAGGTAATTTGCTGCCGTTTATGTGCCTAGCGTTCAGACATGTCCTGGTTTTTCCGTGATAGTAAGCCACTTTTGATGATGAGACGTGTGTTTGGGCAAGTTCTATGCACAGTAAATGTAGCCTATGTTCCACATGGCCCCAGGCCCTGGGGAGCACGCTGGCCCTCAGGTGTGCCGGGCGGGCCTGTGCTCGCAGGAGAAGGTGGAATGCCGCTTTTCCCTCCTCACATCACTCACTGCGGGGGTGTGGGGTGTGTGTGTGGGTGTCTGGGAGTCTTGGAACCATAGGACAAGACACTAAACGGGACAAAGAGGAACCGGGCTGCCGCGCGCCTTCACAACCCTTTTCCTATTGGCTCCCGGCGTCCCCGGGGGCGGGGCCGGGCGTCGTGACGTTTGCCCTCCCTGACGCGGCCAGGAGCGCGGTTCCCCGGGCGACCGCGGTCAGCCACCCACCATGGACCGCAGGGTGGTCAAGCCACCCGGACAGGACATGGTCGTGGAGCGTCTCAAAAGCCGCTACGGCCTGGCGGGAAGCTGCCCCGTGGAGGTGAGGGGAGCGGAGGCCGCGGCGTGCTCCGCTGGGCGGCTGCGGGCGGGCGGGCGGGGGGCTCCGGCCTGCCTTCCTCTGGGCGGCTCGCCCGACCACGCCTCCGTCGGGGAAACCGCCGAGACGGGCGTGGCGTGGCTTTGGTCCTGCTGGCGGGGACCCGAGTGCAGCAGGCGGAGAAGACAATGTAGTTCTTTCCGGAAAGCCTCTTGCTCCCAAGTCATTGCAAACTTAGAGGAAAGTTGTGGCAGCGTGCATTCTTGTAGTCCTCTCCTGAATGCGCCACTCACCAGGGCCGTCTTGCCAGGTTTGCTGCGGGACCCCCTCTGAGGCAGTTTGCTTAATGTCAGTCTGTGAGAGGCTGGCTAGATCGAACCTCCCATGGATGCTGGAAGAACTGAAGCGGGGAAACCAATTGCAGCCCTGCAGTTTCCACGAGACTCGTTTTTTATTATCACACCTCCCTTGATAACAGAGTTAGGAGTTTACATTTAAGTTGAGAAACTACTTCACAGCCTAGCAAATTCAAGGCTTTATAAAGCACAACAATGTTGTCTTCAGAAAAACATCTGAGGTATTTACCCTATTCTCCAGAAGTTGAGGAAGGTCGCAGGCCTTCCTGAGTTCCTTTCCACATTTGCTGTCTTTCCAAAATCCCTTCTTGAGAAATATCAGTATATCTGTGTTCCCACGCCCGTGTCACAAATTCATTCCATCCTCACGTAACCTTAATTCAGACGCAACACATAACTCCTCTAGTTTGGTTTTCCTGTGAAGTACGTTCTGAAAATTTTAAACTCTCATTGATATTCTCCAGGAAATTTAGTATTGCTACAATAATACAGGATAATGTATAGCTCATACAAGGATTTCACTAATTACCTCAATTATTGAAAGTGTTTCCTGGTGCAGATACCACCCCAGTCTGAACATTACACATGGTTGTGTCTTGCCTTTAATCTACATCAGATGCCCACACTCAGTTTCTTATATTAATGCTTTCACAAGGTCGAAGACTGTTGTGTTTGAGTTTGTCTGATGGATACTGGTTTGATTTGATTCTGGTTTTGTATTTTTGACAGGAATATGACATGAGTGGCGTGTGGGCCGCACTGATGAATCAACAGGTACATGATGTTTGCTTGTTTAATTAGTGATGCTGATGTTGGTTAGGGCGTGGCCCCTAGGTTTTTCCATGCTTACCTTGTAATTGTAATCTGTGGAAAGATATTTTAAGTGACTATTTCTTAGTGTTTAAGTTAAGTGTGTCTTTTTTTATTCTCCTAGCGTGAGCTTTCAAATTTTGATCAGACTAAATATAAAAGAAGAATTCCAACCTCCCCAGGTAAGCCAATAGAATATTTTGTATATTTGAGTATTCTTAACAAGTTTAATCTGAGAGAGATTTTTGTAAATGTATAGACTGTAGGGTTAGTGTTACTTATTTTTTATTTAGAAAAAGTTTTCAATTGGTAATCACCTAATAATAATTGAATTTAGGGATGACTGTGTGAGAGGCCTTTATAAATTAAATTGAATGAGGTTTTTTGGGGTGTATGTGTGTATGTGTGTGTGTTTATAGTCTGTGCACCTTCCTTTATTTTCACTCCCGGGGTTCTGGGAGTCAGAACCAGACCCTTGGTCAGGGCTGAGAAGTGCTTGACCACTAAGCTCTCTCCCCAGCTGATAGGTTTGCTTTTGACGATGTTAACAGTTGAGCAGACTCGATTGGGTGAAGAACACTAGTTGGTATCTTTACGCAGAAAGAGTCTCTAGGATAGAAACTAAAGGAAAAATTTATGATGTGAACGTACTTGGAAAACATAATTATCCTGGGGGTTGTGATGTTTTTGATAAGTTGCAACGTTTTTTTTTTTTTTTTTTTTTTGAAGTAATAAGTATTAGTCATTAATCGATTAGTTTGTTAATGCTTCAGTGCTATACTTATTAGTTAAGCATAATAATCATTAAACTTGCAGCACCAGTAGTGTTTTTAATTTCATCAATATGTGTGAGCTGGGTCTGAGGAGTAGCTGGTAGATTGGAGAGCTGTATTGATTTGATTTGTGGTTTAGATAAGTCTGGAGGCTCAGATCTGATTTCCGAAGTATGTTACATAATGGTAGGGGACAAATTGCTCTCTTGATAAAAGCATAAATTAATTTGGTAATAAGTTAAAAAAAAAAAAAACACTTGGTGAAATACCCTGTCTGCAAGGATTCTAATATAACACTTTCAGAAAAGTTACGTCTAAAAATAAAGGAAGAATGGTTAATGTTTCTGGAATATCAAAATTAGTTTGAGATCATTAAAAAAAAAAAGATAAGCAGGTAAAGTTGATGGCTGAATAGTCAAGAAGGACTAGCAACAGATATCCTGGATCTTAAGAACATATCAGAAGAAAGGCATTATTTCCACTGCCGACAAAGCCAATCAAAAGAGGTTGAAAGGCTTTAGAGGTCAGCAGACTTTTTAAAAAAGATTGACTTGGACTAGAAATGAGAAGGTTATCTGGTAATAAAAGTGCAGTTTATAGTCACTAGCGGTGACCGTAAGCATCCCTTGAGACTATTTGTGTTTCCACTGAGTCTGAATGCCTCAATGTGCAGTGAGGGAGAGTGCTTCTCATCTTGAGTTCATGTCCGAGTTTCAGGAGAATGTAAGGAGCACCAGCGGCTTTCAACTTTTCAGAGTCTGGATAGCTTTAACCCTGTGGTCTACAATTTACAAATGTCATTCTATTGAGAAACTTTTTGCAGCAGAATTGTCACCTGCCGTCTACCTGTAATTCTTCTGCACTTTGTGATGTTTCTGTGTTGTGAGAAGAAAGCTGGAATGCCACACTCCCAGTATGCCTCTTTGATATAAACGCTCTAATTAAGAAGAAGCAGAGCAGGAAAGCTCCATGATGGGGGAGGAGATGGCTCAGTTGGCAAAGTGTTCGCTGCAGAAGATGAAGACCCAAATTTGGATCTCCGGCCCATGTACAAGTCAGATTTGGCAGTACGTTCCTGTAACCCTGTTGCTAGGAGGGTGGAGCCAGGTGGACCCCTGGGGCTTGCTGGCCAGTGCCTTGTCAGTTCTTTAAAAACCTACTCTTGGTTGGGTGATGGCGTTTTATCCCAACACTTGGGAGGCAGAGGCAGGAGGATCCCTGAATTTGAGGCCAGCCTGGTCTACAGAGTGAGTTCCAGGACAGCCAGTGCTTACACAGAGAGACCCTGTCTTGAGAAACCAAAACCATAAAACAAACAAACAAATAAATAATAAAAAACCTCTAATTATTGTTGTAAGCTATGATTTGAAGAGCCTTTCGTTGAGACTTCTCCTGTGTGATTGTACTGTATGCTTTAATAAACTTGATTTGCTTTTCTCTTGTTAACTTGTCTGTGTTTCTCCCAGCTATAAATTTATAAGGGTTGAAGAGAAATTGTGTTTGCTCCCTGATAAATATACTTCTTTAAATTTTTTAGATTAAAAATTTAGGGGAGAGTTGATTTAAACATGTACCCTTTATAAAATGAACAGTGGGGTCATACTGCAGCCAGTGTCGCAGGAACCCCATCTTCCACCTTACCTTTATTTCTTGAGGACTCTGCCTCTTGGTGCTGGTCTGTAATGAGTGTGTCTGTCCTGCCAGCCAGCTCCCAAATAATGACATGAACTTCTTATTAATTATGAAAGCTTGGCCTATAGCTTAGACTTGTTCCTAACTAGCTCATGTAACATAAGTTAACCTATATTTTTAATCTACATTCTACCATGTAGCTTTTACTTCTCTCCCATTCTGTGTGTCCTACTTGTTCTGTGTCTGGCTGGCTTCTCTGCCTCTCCTCTTCCCAGAGTCTTCTCTGTGCTTGAAGTACCACTTATACCTCCTGCCTACCTATTGGCTAATTAATTAACTCTTTATTAAACCAATCAGAGGCGCCTTGGTAAAGACACATTGTCACAGTGTACAAAAAGGTTATTCCATAACACTGGTCCAGGGTATTCTTAGATCTCCCATCTGACCCTCAGCTGGGTGGGTATTCCCTGGGGACTCCACCTCTTGGTATAGACCCAGGGTCCCCTTAGATCTTTGCCACTGACCTTCTCAGCCTTCCCTTCTAGCTCAGCTCCATTCCTTTGTGCCACCCTCAATCTGCAGAAGCACTCTCTACTATACTAGCCTAGGATCCAGAGTGGACAACAACAACTAAAGAATGGAATACCCACCCAGCAAAGATAAGACAATGTATCCACACTAAGAAATACCTCAAACACCAAAACTCTAGATGCCTAGATCCCAGAACAAAAACACAAACAAACATCCACAGCCAAGACACTGCCTTCCTCAGAAGCCAGCATCTCTAATGCAATAGGCCTTGAGGTACAGTTTAGCTGAAGCATGAGAAAGACTTCAAAATAGCAATTTTTAAAATGCTCAAGAACCTTAAAGAGGATATGAATAAATGCCTCAAGTGAAAATAGAAAGCACAATTGAATGAAATAATAAAAACAGGCCAAGACATAAAAGTAGAAATAGAATCGCTAAAGAAAACCCAACTGAAATAAAACTGGAAATAAAAATTTTAAGAGATCAAAATCCTCAGAGGTAAGCCTTCTCAACAGATTAGAAGACACAAAAGAGAGAATTTCAGGTCTTGAAGACAAAGTCGAGGAAGTAGATAGCTCTCTGTCAAAGAAAATGTTAAATCAAAAAGAAAAAAATCCAAGCACAAAACATCCAAGAAATCTGGGAGACTATGAAAAGACAAAACTTAAAATAATAGGTATGAAGAAGGAGAAGAAAACCAGGTTAAAGGCACAGGAAAAAAAATTGTGTTTTTGTTTTTTTGGCTTATTGAGACAGGGTTTCTCTGTGTGGCCTTGACCATCCTGTAATTCTGTAGACAGGGCTGGCCTCTATCTGTAGAGATCTGCTTGCCTTGGCCTCCTAAGTACTGGGATTAAAAGCATGTGTTACCACATCACGCTAACAGAAAATATTTTAAATCACAGAAGAACATTTTCCCAAGCTAAAGAAAGAGATGCTTATCAACATGTAAGAAGCATCCAGAACACCAAATAGAACCAGAAAAGAAACACCGCATGACATATAATCAAAGCACTTAACGTACAGAACCAAGGACATTAAAGCTGCAAGGGAAAAAGACTAAATCACTTATAAAGGCAGGCCTATTAGAATAACACCTCAATGGAGACTCCGAAAGCCAGAAGGGCTTAAAATTCTAAGAGATCACAGATGCCAGCCCAGACTACTATACCCAGCAAAACTATCAGTGACAATCAATGGAGAACGAAAAACATTCCACTTTCTAAATTTAAGTAATTTTTATCTGCCAATCCACTTGAAGGAAAACTTCAGTCTAAAGAGGTTAATTACTTCAGGGCAGACCCCATGCTCAGGAGTAGTTGGCAAACACGAAACAAACTCAGTGGTATTTTTGTGGACTTTGTGTTTCCATTTTGCTTTGGACATTTTTTGTCTTGTTTATCTTTTGATTTTTGGGTTTTTTGGTTTGGGTTTTCCAAAAAAGGGGTTGGCCGGTAAGCCTGGGGCCCGTCCCAGAACCTGGTCCAAAAAACAACCCGGCCCCAAAACCAAAAAAAACCCCCAGGCCCCGCCCCCCGAAGGGTGGGAATAAAAGGGAACAACAACAACGCCCGGCCTTTGAATTTTGGGTTTTAAAGTTAAGAAGGGGGGGGGGAAGGGGGGGGGGCGGGAGCAAGGGGGGAAGGAAGGGCCGTTCCTGGGGTTTTTTTTTTTTTAACTTTGTTTTTATTTCTTGCCTTTTTTTAAAAGAAAAAAACAAAGTTTAGTGGGTAGAGAGATGGGGAAGATCTGGGAGGAATTTCATACAATCAAAATATATTGTATGAATCAGAATTTTTTTAGTTAAAGAAATGAGTGACGGGCTATAGAGATGGTTCAATGGTTAAGAGTGCACACTAGATGCTGGAGAGATGGTTCAATGCACTGGCTGCTCCTTGCACACACATGGCAGCTCCAGACCTTCTGTAACTCCAGATCTAGGGGATCTGATACTCTTTTCTGGCCTCTGCCAGGCACTATGGTGCACATGCAGGCAAAACACTCATTCACATAAAATTGAGAAAATAAAAAGAGGATGCACACTGCTTTCCAAAGGACCTGTGGTTTGTTCCCAGCACCCTTGTCAGGTTCACAACCACCTTTAACTTCAGCTCTAGGGGAAAGAGGACCTGATACCCTGTGCTGGCCTCTGTGGACACCCACACACATGTGGTACACACACACACACACACACACACACACACACACA